TTTGTAAGTTCTACAGTAGAATACCCCCTTAAGGGAGTATCCTGAATTAGGAGGTCAAAAAAAAAGAAATCGGTTTTTCGTGAATTTTTTTAGGATAAAAAAAAATAATTAATTTTATCGAACTTTTTATCCTACTTTCATACACATTCGAGTAGTCTGTACAGATTTGTTCAACAAGAAATATTCAAATTGAGTCGACTAGCGACGCACATTTGTAGAGCACCTCGCAATTAAAACCTATCGGCGGGAAAGATGCAGGTCGTGATTTTGGTTTGACACAAAAAAAAAGACCAAAAGAAATTTTCATTTTCATACATTTTTCTTCTATGTGAACCTAAGAAAATGCATACAAAAAAAATGTTAAACAACTTTGTTATCATGTTAAAGTGATTTCTTTCACCCAAAGAACTCGTTCTTTTTTTCAAACTTGCAGTAATTTCACATTTCACCATTTTTGCGGGTTTTTCTTAGTTCACGTAGAAGAAAAATGTATGAAAATGAAAATTTCTTTTGGTTTTTTTTTTTTTGTGTCAAACCAAAATCACGACCTGCATCTTTCCCGCCGATAGAAGGTTTTTATTGTGAGGTGTACTACAAATGTGTGTCGCCAGTCGATCTCAATTTGAATCTTTCTTGTTGAAATAATTTGTACAGACTACTCGAATATGTATGAAAATAGTATAAAATGTTCGATAGAATTAATTATTTTCTTCCATCCTAAAAAAATTCACGAAAAACCGCTTTTTTTTAGACCTGAGGTATTCAGGATACCCCCTTAACGGCGTTCAACAAACCATAATTCTGCGATACATAAAGTTTGCTTTGATACAAAAATTGTACACATAGTGTTTAATCTTCCTCGTTACGAACGCAAACGAAGAGATGGAAATGAGTAATGCGCACACAATAGGTGTGTATCTTACACCAGTACACAAAGACGCCGCGTCGCATGTCAAATAGCAGGTCTAAATAAAGCTGCGAAATAACAATAGCTGTACTCGCCAGAGGAATAATAATTACCTGGTGTGAATGTACCTCGACGTTGTGGTAGTAACAGAAAATATTACCATAAAGGGACTTGAGATATTCAACAATACCTCTTCATGTCCCTCCTGGCTTACAAGGAGAGAAGACAAACATGTACAGTGGGTGTAGAATTTGTTCGTACACCGATTAATTTCCAAAAAAACTATGTGAAATTGTAATTTACTAACTTATTTTTTATAAACAATGACATTCTACATATTCTCGGAAATCTATAGAATAAATAGATTACAAAAAAAAAATAGCTATTTATGTAAGTTGCGAAATTAGCAAAAAAAAAATAATTAATCGATAGAAATATTGAAGGAATAATAATTCGTGCAACTGTTTAATTTTTAAAACTTCGTTAGAAGAAAAAAGGTAATTTACATTAATTTACGAGTATATAATACGCTTCTTTCGTAGGATTTCCTTTTGATTTTATAATTATTGTAACTTTTCTAAGCATTAAATTAAGTAAATTATTAGTTATTCGAAGTGATACCTTTTTCCATTCCTCTATTAGAGCCATTTTTCAGTGGGGATGGTTTCAGGGCATTTATGGGAGAGAAATTTGTGCATTTGTGGTGACTTTACTGTAATATTGATACTAACTACTAGAAACTGGTAGTTGGTACTTGTTAGACAACTTAAAGTTGTGTGCACAAAATAGATAAAAAGTATAGTAATTCGTGTATGAAAATTGCAATATTTATTCTTATCACTGATTACTACAAACTTGTAGTTGGTATTAGTTAGTCATATTAAAGTTGATAGTATAAAACAAATAAAAGATATCCCGTTTTCAAAAATAAATTCACCTCGTAGGAAAATGATGAAAAGTTATTAAAAATTCTTAAAGCCTGAGAAGCCTGAATGGCACCAATACTCTTTGGAGGATTCTTCAATGTCTGGACTCGTCGGATCTTTACGCGTCTTGGAGGACACTTCCGGGAATGCAACGCAACCTTACCGAAGGAATAGCCTCGCCATATCGTTGCATTCGAATTTGTCTGGTTTCACATCTGCTAACAATCCAGAAATCACACCTTTCCACGTCGTTGATTCGGCACGAAGAAGATTCAGCAACGTCAGCGACGTGGTCTCCAGGAAGATCTCTCACACGATACGATGGAGGACGGTTTCAGCTTCTGTTGAGCTCACTGTGTCACAAGTAATTGAACATAATATCCTTCTAGGTGCAATATAAATGCTGTGCATGATAATTATTTAACTACTAACTATTAACTGTAAACTGAAGATATCTATTGCAAATTAAACACGTCTAGCATATATGTATATCTATTACGCCTTAAATATGTACAGTGAGTGTAGAATGTATAAGTAAGTTTCTTAACTTCTTTTTTTATAATCAATGATATTTTACACATTCTCGGAACTCTCTAAGATAGATATAGTCCAAACAACATTTACTAGTGAATATAATTTGTGATATTAACAAAGAAATACGAGAAGTGGATAAAAGTATAGAAGCAATCAGTATTTGTACGATTCTTATGACGAACCATTTACAGTAGAGTTTGTAACGTAAACATATTATTGCAGTTTATTGCTCCGTACGAATTAGAAAACATCAAACTTCCAAGAAAGTACTTTTAAAAAGGCTCTAATAGAGGAATGGAAAAAGATACCACTTCGAATAACTAATAATTTACTTAATTTAATGCTTAGAAAAGTTACAATAATTATAAAATCAAAAGGAAATCCTACGAAAGAAGCGTATTATATACTCGTAAATTAATGTAAATATCCTTTTTTTTTCTAACGAAGTTTTAAAAATTAAACAGTTGCACGAATTATTATTCCTTCAATATTTCTATCGATTAATTATTTTTTTTTGCTAATTTCGCAACTTACATAAATAGCTATTTTTTTTTTGTAATCTATTTATTCTACAGATTTCCGAGAATATGTAGAATGTCATTGTTTATAAAAAATAAGTTAATAAATTACAATTTCACATAGTTTTTTTGGAAATTGATCGGTGTACGATTACTTTCTACACCCACTGTATGTCAAAGAAAATGTATTGTATAATTTGTTTTCTTCGTAAAAAAATGTAAACTCAGATTTCAACTATCAACTGATAACTACTTGCCGCCTAAACAATCCACGGTCTGTAAAGAATATTTTTTCATAGCCAATTGTAGAATTTTCCTCGTCAAAGATAGACACAAAATTAATAAAAAATTGCAGCCAAACTGTATTCCATTAAATAAATATTTATTTATGCGAGTATTTAATCTGATATCGTTACTTTTTGTTCAGGGCTCCTCGCTGTGCGCTCAGTATATTCGAAATCGTTTAAAACGGTCCGGAATCTTTCACCGAAAGCTTGGCCTGAAGAGGATGAGGAGCGTCATGTTGCTTCCTGGTGGTACCGTCGTAGGAGAAGTTTATCCAGAGTTAATATCGGTCGGTGCTGAACTCGAAAAAATGCACCCGAATTTATTCAATCGTGTCGCCAGACAAATCGGCTGCAGCAGCTTCTCGACGGAACAATCCGCCAGCGAGGCCGTGGCCGATGTCTCCAGAGAGATGATCAGAAACGGAGAAATGACCTGGAGCAAAGTGATAGCCCTCTACGCGGTCGCAGGTGGCATTGCCGTGGATTGTGTGCGTCAGGGTAAACCTGAATATCTACTCGCCATACAGAGAGGTAATTAATTCTGTTCAAATTACATTGTAACTTCGTTGATCTTGCTTCTTTCGCCATTTAAGGGGTGTTCTAGTCTGTATCGCTAATTTTTAGTTCTCTTTGAGGATTTTTTTTTTAATCTATAAGGAACTTTTGTAAAGGATTTTGCACACATGTTTATTCGCATTTTCAGAACAGGTAACAGTAATCAAAACTAAACGTGGCAGATATACTTTCGAAGGTCTACGCTTTGAAAAATTGCAAAAAAACAAACATCGAGTTTTGAAGGTTCTAAACCAAAATACCCTCTTAAGGCTTGGTTACAAATTTCGTATCAAGAGATTAGATAAATAGAATGAGTGTCTTTAGCTACCTTATTCTAAAATATTTATAGCAATCCGTATATTTTAATTCGTATAAAAAACTTTAAAAAGGTAAAAAAATTACGCCATGTACATGAAAGAGTGGAGGACAAAAAGGAGTAATCACAAAAAAAAAATAGAAGATCATAGATTGAACGAGAGTGGTTGAAAACAGACTTACTAGAATACAGAAAAGGCAAAACTAATTTATTATTAACGCAAAACTAATCTCATAGCTCAGCGACCAATGTAATCAGACGCTAACACAATCTCGTAGCTCAGCGAATAGTGTAATCAAGCACAAAGCCTGTCGTCTTCAATCATCTACTCACTTCCGTTTGATTACATTTAAAAGTGAAAAACGAAACCATAAAAGTTGTTCGGACTAATAAATTTGACAACATATTTAAAAAAAAAATTAAACGCTAACTAAATTCCGTAGCTCAGCGAATACCTTTCCTAATTTCAGGTATGACTGATGTTTTGGAAGAGGATCTTGCCGTATGGATACAAGCAAACGGTGGATGGGTAAGACACGTGTACAATAACGATAAATTATTATTCAAACATCTTCGTTCTACTAACAAAAGATGTATTATTAACTTCAGTCAGCTTTGGCGACACGGTACAGGCCTGTGACGGAAGAGACGACATGGTACACGCATAAGTTTGTACTATTATTTATATTTACAATGTTATCAGTTGGTATGGTCTCGATACTTTTGAAGTTTTTAATTTTATAACACTTGTTGTATATAGTTTCGTAGACATTTATTTATTATACGATCTTTTATTTTAAAGATTATTTATAAAAACTTTTTGTATGAATTTTGTACGTCATAATGCAGGCGCTGCCTGGAAAATGTAAACAATTCATGGTGCTACTTATCCTAATAATGTAATAATTACATAATTTTCTAACTGAAACACAAGTTCGTTATACTTTACTTTTACATATTTTAATAAATAATTTGTATAAACGCAGCCGGTGTTGTTCTTTCACGTATTTATTTCTGGATCCGACGATTCACGGTTGTGTATTTCTATTTCTGGTAGATCAACATCATCTTGACGAATTGAAGGTTTTTCGCTGGTTTCCTGGTGAAAATGGGTTTTGTCTCACTGTTTAGGAAAACGTACAAAAATCACGTGTAAAAGAATCGAAACTGTGCAATCGAATAGAATTAGATTAGTTTACTTGTGATTTGGCAACGTTTGCCAGGTACGCGAGAAAGCTTTGATTTGTTTCGTCCTTATTGATCACTTGAAGGTACTTCTTTCTTGCGTTCAGTACCTCCTCCTGTTGCTTTTTGTGTCTGATTGACAATTCTAACGCTCTAAGGAAACAAAATCCAAGACATTTGGAAACGAGTATATTGCATCGATAAATTTTCGATAGATTAAGTAATACCTATTCCAGTTGTATACTTCAATATTGATTCGTATGGCTTCTTCGATTAATCCATTTTGCAAAAGGATGCCCTCTGCGGTTAATAAATCACCTGACAGAAGTGCCATTTCTGCCAATCTCTCGGATTTATTTGGTAGACTCTTTCAATTCCAAACGAATAGGGATTATATTTTTTGTAAAACAAAAAAATTCTGTGGTTTTTATATTATTACCTTTATATATTGAATATAGTCAACTTTGTCATATCTCGATATTGCTGCATATGCTTCTTCCGCGGCATTCAATTCTTTATTATCAGTTGCCATAACAGCCATACAAGTCCACAATATTTCATTCTAACAATAAATTTTATATTTTAGAGAAATTTCAATTGTTGGTATAAGAATATCTTCTTATCAGAAAAATGTACTAATTACCTGCGCAATTCGACAAAGAGACAACGCTTCTTTCCATCTTTTGTTTAGTATGTGCTGATGAAGACTAATGAAAAATGTATAAAAAGTAGAAGCTACTAATGCCCCATCACCACGTCGTATCATTACCATACCATTATATACATTTGCTATACTTGGTTGTCTACCAAATTCACTGAAAATATTTACAAAATGTACCTACAAAGTATAATATAATACAGATCACATTTTACACGGTAAAATAAAATTGATCGTGAAACCTGCTTTCCTTATCGATTCTTGTTTTTTTTATTATTTTACGATCACTATAATGCACGCAATTAGGGCACAGCCACACCGATAGTGTTGCATCTAACATTGCTGCTAAGACATTCGCATCGGTCGCCCACGCGATGTCTTGCGCCATAGCAGCTGAAAAATAGATAACAAGCTAATGTTACTAACTGATAAAGCACCACAATCCTAACGAACAAACAACACTATACGACAAAAATACACGGAAACTATTAACCCCTGAAGGAGCTAATCTTAACGATGTAAAACGTCCAAGTATCTTATTAAAAGGACATGGGAGAAACTCGCGATAAAAGACACCTACAATCCAAAATCAGTATCGATTATGAAAAACTGACACGTGAAAATCGCAAACAACTTATACAGAAATATTGACTACATGTTTATAGTAATACAAAGAATACATACCTATTTTGCACACTCTACCAAAACCAGTCGTTCTAATTGAAACCAGGAACAAGTCCTTATTGCTATCAATTAATGCTACTTGTCGATCAGTGGGCCCGCCAATATGGTTTAAGGCTATTCTTGTGATACTTTGAAGATGCGTGTAAGGTTGACTTTCTGTTATAGGTTTGTTGTAAGCAATTTCCAGAACGTGAAATACTAAATAATAATTTAGATAAGAATTTATATAAAAAACAATGTTCACATTCGAGAACATGTTTCGCCGTACATTTTTCGTTATTCTGCGATCTTAAAACCAAAGTGTCAGTGCACAATGATATGCAAGAAGGATGAAGTCGTTCCTGTGTCATTCCTTTCCATTTTGGAGTTCCCAATAAACGGCCTTGATAACTATACAACGATACGCTATTCCATTCAACTAATAAAAAGTGCCTAAAAAACAGTCTTTGCATAACACAAAAAATACCATATTTATTGTTTGGAAATAGACAATAATCATTATTTACTTCTCTGCAAGAAGTACTGCTGATACACTGGTATTCTTCAAATCAAATATGGCTGGCGTATTCCAATTTACTACAGAGTAAACGTGACATTGTGCTGGTGTAATGACAACTAAATGATCAAAATCAAATTCTAGCTGAACCACGCGATCCGATATCTCCAATGTTTCTCGAATTTCGTTACCAATATGTCTGACTTCAATCACTTTTCTTTTAACCAATGTAGCTACATAATTATTCCACTCTAATCTCCTATTTTTCGTTTGTACAGTTACACATAAATATAAAATTAATAGTTTTCAATAACATTCAATTATTATTATATTTGTTATTCGTACCTGTCTATTATATGCCCAGTCAGCACTGTTCCATTACTGCAAGCCATAGCAACTTGAGTACTGTCGCTAGACCAAGCAATACTGTATATACTTCCAGTATTAATTTTTTCTAGTGAATGGGACCACTACAAAATATATATCAATAATTTGTATACATAAACCGATAACACAATATGGTGTAAAAATAAACTAACTCCTGTTTTATCACAAAGTTTGATTGTATTAAAAGATCCAACAGCAAAGTGGTTTCCAGAGTAACTCCAACTCAGTGATGTGATAGGGTGATCACCTACATTGCTGGAAAATAGCTGACTCCCATTGGGGTCCCATACCTTTGAAATCAAACAGATTAACAATTTTACTAATTTCACTATTTAAGTAAACAAATTCATTTAAGAACGATATGGTTGTATATAATTACCTTGTACCGACAATCTTCTCCACCAGAGATAACGAGTCCATGAGTATGACTCCAGCATACAACTAAAATAAAACCATCGTGTGCAAGTAGCTAAAACAAAAATTTCTTTAAAACATTACTCTGCCCCATGGAAGCAGAAGTGGTATGTATGTTTATTAAATTATTTAACCTTTCGAGGCTTAGAATTAGAATTAAGTGACTGGAAGGTTAAGTAAGCTCCTTGAGAATAGAGTACAGATGTACAATCTGGACTCCACGCAGCAGCTAAAATAGGGAATGCACCTCTAACTATAACAGAGCGAAGCATGCCACTACGCGACCAAATTTTTATCAAACCATCCTCTCCAGCTAAAATTTAATTGAAAAATCAATTACGTGATAAAGATCATTATTTCGTTTGAAGTATTTCAATTACCAGTTAGAAGCGCAGAACCATCGCTACTCCATCTGCCTACAATTGTTGCTCCTTTATGAGCATCAATACTTTTTTCTATGCGACCATTCTTATTTACCAAATGATATTTTCCTACAGATAGAGTATTAAAGTAAAGTACAGTACTGTTATAATACAAGAAGTAGTAATGTAGTAAATATGCCGAATAGGGGACCCCGTCCCTATGACTTTGACCTTGACATATGTTGCCAAGGGCACCCTCCTGAGTAACTTTTTCTAATAACTTAACCGTCGCTCACTGCTTATTAAAAAGTTATTAACAAAAAAAGTTGGTAAGTTACATCAGGTTATACATACGAACACGCTATATATAGCGTATAAAAACACGCTACAACGGTTCAAACTTGTTCCGAGAGCATGTATGATGCACGATCTTTACTCGTCCAGTAAACAAATGGGGGTCCGGGGGCTGTCCCCCGGTCGGGGGCTGGGGGGCAAAACCCTTAACAAGGAGTACTGCAGCGCACCACGCAGGTGTGTACACGGTTATCCTGAAGGACGTACATTGCTTTCAGGGGGGTCGAGGGGACACAGGCCCCCGCTCGGCAGGGGGTTTGGAGGGCTCAGCCCCCCAGCAAGCGTACGGTTTCAAGGCGCATACTTTCAGCTGAAAAACCTTTTACAAAATTGAAAAAACATACGTCTCAAAATTATACGCTTGCAGTGGGGCTGCGCCCCCTCGACCCTCCTGAAAGCAATATACATCCCTCAGGATAATTGTGTACACACCTGCGTGGTGCGCTGCAGTATTCCTTGTTAGGGGCTTGGCCCCAAACCCCTGACGGGGGACCAGCTCCCGGACCCCCATTTGTTTTCTACACGAGTGAAGATCGTGGTATAGGTTATATATTTGTATACGAAAAAGGTAAAGTTTAAGGGTACGCAGGACCCAGAGCCAAACTCCGAGTTGACTTCAGCGACAGTTGCGGAAAAAATAGGAAACTCCGAGATAAGACAGAGAGGGCGATACAAAAATTGCAGGAGGGACGAGGGCAGGACGATTAGGCTAGCATGATTTTTTCCAGGATATTGAAGCAAAGAAGCAATATTTTCTAATAATTCTGGTTTTAATATATTCGTTACACTTTGGCGGATGCGACTCCAAAGCCTGATATTGCAATTTCGGCCTTAAAACTTTATAAACAATAAAATGAAGATAGCAAACGTACTTTTATTGTTTATAAAGTTTTAAGGCCGAAATTGCAAAATCAGGCGTTAGAGTGGCATGCTGAGTGATGTAAAGAATATTTTAGAAAAAGAATCGTGAGAAAATATTGCTTCTTTGCTTCAATATCCTTGACAAAAATCATGCTAGCCTAATCGCCCTGTCCTCGTCTCTCCTGCAATTGTAGTATCGCCCTCTCTGTCCTTGTCCCGGAGTTTCTTATTTTTTCCGCGACTATCGCTGAAGTCAACTCGGAGTTTGACTCTGGGACCTGCGCACCCTTAAGTTATTAGAAAAATTTACTCAGGAGCGTGCCCTTGACAACATATGTCAAGGTGAAGGTCATACGGGCGGAAGGTCCTCTATTCGGCATATTTACCAGTAATATTTTATTCTAAAATTTCTGGAATGAATACCATCAGCTGTAGTAATTAACAGTACATCCAATGATTGTTTCTTTGTGATCGATACAGCATAGTTTTGCCTCGGATGCCATTGCATATCAGTCGGATAAAAGTCATCAGAAAATTGAGTAACAATTGTGGAATGGGGGGTTCCACCTTCTAAGTACCAAGATATTAATAAATGATCCTCCCTGTAGAAAAAAATTGACAATTACTTTGTGAACGTCATTGTACGTAAAGATCAAAACGTACCCGCAGGAATAAATTTCTTCCGCTGAACTCCATGCTACACACGTTACCAACCGTTTATGACCATTACGATTTTGCGAAGATATTTTAAATCTCATATTACACGATTCTATTACCTCAACTTATGATTAAAAATATTTGTCAACACCTTCGTAACCTTATTGTATTATTCTATTGCATAAATTCGATCACGTGTGATCGCATGCTTGTACGAACCTTCAAGCTTTCAAGTGAGATGTATTTGTTTACCTACAGTTACCATGGTAACGGAATGGGGAATTTCCTCTTATTTCACTATTTCGGCCACAGCCGACTCTAGTACTAGCCGTGCTGAGAAACGTGGCAACACCGGCATAAGATACTAAGTCCTTCCATTGATTGCAATTGAATGTATGGTAGCACATGTATTTACCTGTAATATTGGCTAAATCTAACCTATACTTCGAATATAGTGAAAGTAATAAAGTGATACGATATGTTCGGCAGATTAATTTCTAATGCCTGTCAAGTCCTTCCGTACGTATTTATTTGTTGAAATTAACATTTTATATATAACAGTTAAGATTGTTTTTAGACGTCTCTCCTCGTCGGGTAATCGAATTTCATCGTCGATTGATTGTTCACCGGCAATAGTAAATCAATGGAGTTTTACATTAAATAGAACAAAAGTGAGAAATAATTTTCCTCGTCCTAGCGAACTTACCCGCGTCAAGCGCCATGGTTGGTTCACAAGAATGGCAACACTCAGTGGTAGAAAAATTCTCATGAGAAGAATATTAAAGGGAAGACATGTACTCAGTCATTAAACATTGTACGTTGATTAGTTAATAAACAATTATTTGTATTTCAAAATGTGTACAATTATTTTTTGTTCTAATATATATCGATACCTATTAAAACATCAAGTATTAGTATCTAATTTATTTTACAGTTAATACAGTAATAATACAGTTTAATCTTATGTATCTTGCATTAAATATTTGAATTCGAGTTGTTTACAAGTCCAATTAAATGGTGGTATTAAAGGAGCCTTGAGCATTAAATCTTGCTTTCCATCAAGGAAGGATGGTAGTACCATTGATCTTAAATGAATATGACAAGGAATTATATGCTGATCTGAAGGCTTTACATTTAATACTTGTAAAATCGATCTATTTAACTTTGGTGGCAACTCTGTATATTCAAGGTGAGGATCAATATTTATATAAGCATTGCCAAGTTTTTGAATTCGTGATGCGTAAAGATTATCTCCTAGAATTGGACTATATAAATATGTAGATGCAAATAGTCTAAGTGCATGCCATTGTATCGTCGATGATTTTATTTCAATCAAGGAACACAAATTAAACGTAGAGTTGGACAAGACGTTGAATTCGACATTAAGAATTTTCACTGCATTTCTTTTTTCGTCATTTTTAGTCCATGATGTAACAATAATTGGCTGAAAATTATTTATAAACACTCAATATATGAAAAGTTTCGAAGATTATTTATGTAATTTGTACTAAAAAAAAACAGTACTGACCAACCACAGTGTACTGTTTTATACCCAGAGAGTTAATAAAATTACCTTTTTGAGTCTGTAATTAGGATTTGATTGTAATTTCATTGCTAAATGCTCTTTGCCTCTTAATACATTGGGAACCCTAATTGTAGTTACCCAATAAGTTTTTGTAAAATTATTACCACGACGTAATGCAAGTTCTACATTATTTTGTACATGTGTATTTTCAGTTAGAAGCATGAGGCCAGTCATGTATCTAGTTCCAAAATTAATTTATATATTTTGATAAAATTATATGCACAATAATTTGTGTTCTTCTGAACAAAATTCTACTTACTTTTCAGGCTTTCTAATTAGAGTTAATTTTGAATAATTCAACCGTTTTGCAATATATGGCAAGGCATCTTCTAATGTATAATCTACAGCATTTGGTATAAAATGACGTACAGTTTTTACTTCTGTCTTACGATGGCTTATGCCATACGGTTTATTCAGTGCTACCAAACCATCTTGAAAGCAAACATTACTTTAATAAAATCGAAATAGTCATAAGAAAATGTATCTTATTCTTACTTTCATTGTAAATTACGTTGGTTGCAATATAATCCGCGAATTCTTGTAACGATTTCCAAGGATGAATCTGTTTGTAAGGATGAATTTTCGGTTTTTCATGAACACTTTCCATATAATTTCTTTTAAGCAGTTTTGTGTGCAATGTATTTATCGTAGACGTACACATCCGTGTAAATACACCAAACTTAAATATTACATTCTTCATTTCTGTTATATGTTTAAATTTCTAAGGTTTATTTAAATGAGAAGTCTTTAATTGATAATACTTCTAAAAACTATTTAATAGTTTAACCATTTTGAAATTTTAGGTTAGACGCGATAGAAAACTGGTTCAACGGTATCGTAAACACGTGCAGCACATTCAGGCCAATTCAGGCACATTATTACACATCATGGTGTATTCATGCTTTATGACCTGTGACTGCATTGGCTAGCAGCATGAAGACTGTATAAGGAGATCCAACTCCCTAAGAAAGTTACTAGAAAACTGTTATCAAAATCCCGGACTTGAAGTTATGAATATTTCGTCCACTCGCGGTGCATTGAAAAAAAGAAAAATGAAAAAAAGAATTTTGCAATTATTTTGACTTTCCGGGAGTTTATGTTTTTCAATAGGTTTTCGATTGACGGGGCTCCTTTAACTCCCAATTTTTCTAAACTCAATACAATAATAATACAATAATAACTACAATAATTTTCTTTCATTTAGTTAGTGGCGCCATCCAGCAGCAACAGCGTGGAACTATTCAGAACTTCAAGCTCGGGATTTTGATAACACTTCTACATTATACAGTCTTCATGTTTGAGTACATTGTTCAGCGGCTGAACTTCAGCCCAAGTTTGTAGCGAAAATAGTTCCACGCTGTTGCTGCTGGATGGCGCCACTAAGAGAGTTATATCCAAAATAAGGAATCTGCAATAGTTCAAATGGACGTTAGTTGTAGACATATACGATATGAATGACTAGCAATAAGGAAACAAGGCTGTATACATTTTAGTTGTAAATCAATAAAATTATTGTTATATGTCATAAAATAATCTAATGCATGATAAATTTAACATACTAATACATGTACTTATTATTTTACACATTTATTATTATATAAATTACGCATTTATGAAAAATAAAAAATAATTGATAAAAAGGTGACGATGGCGTTATCTATGAACAATACCAGGAACTATTTTCACTACAAACTTGGGAGTCTTACCACCGATGGCGCTAACGATATCATTTAATCAATTATTCTTTTTTGTAACACTTATAGTGCTAATATGCCCAATTTTTCATTTTTATGAATAATTATTTAATTCAACATTAATTGTCGAGATTTTAGCTAATGGCGCTATCTAGCAGGAGCAGTGTGAACTATTTTCACTACAAACTTGGGCGTTTTACCATCGATGGCGCCACTGGTATTAAAACCAGTATTAGTATAGTTTAGTGGTTGGCTGCAGCTGGCTGCAGCTGCAACCAGGGAGCGGAATGCACCCATTCAAACTGACTTCTATGAGTGTACCGAATGGTATTGAATTTACTATGTTAAATTATGAGAATTATGTTATTAAGTATTTATCGAATACGTTTACATGATATTTGTATCATTTTTATTATTTGCATTATTCATAAGAATAAAAAATATTAAGAAACAATTATTTTTTGTACGATAATACAATCTTTTAGAAACTTTCGAATTTTATTGATATATAAACTGACAAAGTAAGTAAATAAGTAAGTAAGGTTTTGAAAATAGAAAATGTGAAACATCTATAGAAAGATAAAGATTCATTTTTATAAAAAAATTTCTAACTGTTTATACATGATGATTTTAGCGAAGATACAAAGCATTATTATAGTGGCATTTTTTATTTTATTAGTAAGTATTATTAAACTCTTTACATATTTTTGTCGTTATAATGAATAACTAGTAGAACTCTTAACTTATACATTCATTCATTCAGACACGCGTGACAGACCATTCCATTTCTATGTACTCAGTACTCACAACTATGTCACATGATCCCCGACAACTTATTGGATTAATGCCATCACTCAATAGTTTACAAAATCTACTTGTTAACTCCTCTCCAAATTGAATAAAATATAATTCCAAGGAGAGCGAGGGACCTTTCTTACATCAATCCTACCTTTGAAAATCGGCATAAAACAATATCGACGTATTGCAATCGTAAACATAGGTATTAAAGTATTTCTATTTGCTGTGCATCGATTGGAAAGTAAATTGCAATACCTGTTCAAATATTCACCTTAAGATCATAATTTGGATGCATTTCTTTATATATATACATATATGTATACACATATATGAATAGCATTATTCACCTCTGACATATGCATATTCCAGTTTTTTTAAAGTTGCTCGTCAATTTTTAGTAATGTTAATATTAATTTGGAAAAAATCTGTTCGTTTTGTTTGCTTTCTCAGAAAACACGTTCCATTCATTGTCAGTCAAAGATCAAAGATCGGTTCTATAACAAAAAAGATACACGCATTGTGTCGGTTTTGTATCTTAGCTGTACTTATTTACGGCCAAAATCACTTATACCGTAAAAACTTGTTGCTAAATTTAGGATTCTCTTATAACAAACGAGCAGTTTATAAAACATTTAGTTGCAGTTTTATTTTGAATACGATCATTACTTCGATATCTTACGACTTTTAAGCACTTTCCTCGTAACAAGTAGCCTTATCACATACGACTATGTATGATTAAATACATTCTGTAACTTATTACATCTATGCATACAAATAATTTTTTTACGATAAATGTTTACAAAGTAAACCGCGAATTGTTTGAAAAATGCTGTTAAATTTTTGCTTCTTTGCAATACCGGTTGCAAATAAATACAGCCTACTAATATAAAGAACGAACTCAAATTACATTGATTCTCGCTATTTTTTTTTTCGATCCTCTTGTAATCATAGCGGCCTAGCTTGAGACTCGAGTCGCATAGTATCAAATGTAATGGCTTCAGGGTTCCAAGCAGAGCTACTCGAATTAAATTCATATTTGTATGATACAAATCGTTGACGTTTCATTAAAATGCAGTATCGGTACACACATCTGTTACATTCCTGTTGTGACATCAGTTTTTATTTCTATCCACTTCGAAAAAAGTGATATCGGCAGTAAATATCTTA